CTGATTGTGAAACTGATAAATTGTCTTACATAGTTTCCCTATTTTGGCCATTGCCATGGTCTGGTTCTGAAAGTGCTTGGATTCCTCCTTCTCTTGCTTTGTTTTAACAAGCTTCTTCTCAGTTGCCCATCCCCAGTGCTCTATTACCTACAGTGCACTTTTTTTTTTTTGTCTGTCTCATATTCTGCATCAACTCCAAGCAGCCTCAGTGTAAAAGCAGATGATTTGATTTATTTTTATCACTGACTTTTTCTAATGAGAAAGAGAACCCCTTGACCCTGCCCTCTCTACTGGCTTCCTCTTAGCACAATCATTTGCGTCTTGGCAAATGAGGTCTATAAAATGCTACTGAATTAAATCAGCAAAGTGTTTAATCACATTTATTTTGCAATCACTGTGACAGACCCTTTGTTGGTCTAAATAGCTGCAGTCTCATTGATTGGAGTGGGGTTTTCCTTCTTTGCATGAACCTAGACAGGTGGGCAGAAGCCATTGCAGCTGACAGACAGCAGAGGAGCATCCCCTGCAATTTCAGGTCTGACTGCAGTTGTTTGCAATTCTCCTGTACACTCAGAGAAGACACTTTATGTGTTAAAACTTGCTGCAAGCTTTTGATATCTTTGACCTTTCAGAAAAAAAGTCTTTTAAATTTTGATATTCCCTAAGAAGACAGCTGGTATTTTTTGATTGAATAGATAGAGATTTCATGTCTAAACGCATTTCTAGGTTTCACTTTGTTGGACTGGTTAACTGCTCTCTGGAGGTTCCATGCTGCTTGCAGTCTTTTCTAAAGGAGTTACAAAGAATAAAACATGCAGAATTCCTCCTGGAAAACATTAATAATGTCCTGCTAGTGTTTGCCTTTGGAACCAAATGTGGATATTCAGATGCATATAGTCCCACCTGCAACTACACTTCCAAGCCAAAAAGTGGCCTTGATCCCTTCTGGTTGGAGCAAATGTGTGATTCCAAGTGCTATGAATACCCAGGTATGGATTCACTGGAAGAAGACAGAAAAGCTGTGGAAAAAATTGCAGAGCCTGTTATGAGTTTTGGCTCTGTAAAGGGTGAGAAAGAGCCCTCCAAGTACTGCTGCTGACCTGGGGATGTGCTGGGTGCTGTTGTTCATCTCTCATGGTTGCAGTCTCTTGGAACAGCAGCTGGAAGATCAGAACTAGTGCCCTATTTCTTCTTCCATCACCTGAATAAGTCAGCTGGAAGTGATGTAAATTATACTTTTTCAACAAAAAAAAAAAAAAAAAAAAGGAAAAATTTCTCCTTTACAGTACAATCAAAAATCCTAAAAAATAAATAAATCAGGCCCTGTCTCTATCAGCTGGCATGGGCAGTGTCAACAGTTAAATGGCTGGTGCAGGGGCAAAAGACAGAGGCTTCTGTGTTCTTGGTGCTGCAGCTCAGACAGAAGATGAAATCGTGGTAGTTCAGCATTGAGTGAAGACTTAACTACTGATTTTCTGGCTTTCTGTTTACACTGGAATAGCTTGTGCTTGGAAAAAAAATGGGTTGTTAGGAATCTGTATGTGTGTGCCTGGCCCTAATTATTTAACAAAACCTTCAAAGAAATACAGCTATCTGCTTTTACAGAGCTGTAGAAGAACGTGGCTGCAATCTTTGCCTGATGGTGAGATGTTGCAGCACTGTATTTGTAAGGGATTTTTTACTGTAAGGGTCAGAGGGTGATTTTGAATGACTCAATAACTGATGCATGGTAGAGGAAAAAAACAACAGGCCGTATATTTGGCCAAGGTGATATTATTTGCCTTTAGTGAATGCCACTTCTTAACTCATTCAATATTTAAAGATTTGCTTGTTTTATCTGACCAAGGACACATGGCTGAAGTTGAATATGGAGCATCAGACCTTTATTGGGGATGTGGAAAATGTGCCTGCTTCTTTTAGCTTCAGATTTTGGCTTGGGTCAGGAACAAATTTTTCAAATTTTGAAAGTATTTTGGCATGTTGATCCTTGGGACATTCTTGTGTTTGTTTCAGACACTGTGAATAAAGGCAATAAGAAAATATTCAAAATGGAATCTACACTTAATCTGAATTAAATCAAAAGCCAGATTTCATACAGGGACATTAAGCATTTAGTACTTTAGGAGATGGTAATTTCCAGAAGGGCAGTTTTCTGTGGTGATGTTCTGAATGTCCTAGTTTTGGCCTGTCACACCTGTAGATTGAGAAAATTTGAGGCTGCCTGCTGATCTGTATCATCTGAGATCTGAGTCTATTTGATGAATCTCAAACTGAGCATCCACAAGCAGAAACACACTGACTCATTAATCACTGTGAGAGATCTTGGCCTGTATCAATTAAGAACAATAGTTCCCTAGTAGAAAAGAAACATAATGATGTGCTTCCAGTGACAGTCATGATATTATTGGTCACTTGCATTTATTTATCAAATACATGCCCTTGTTTCATTTTCAAACCAGCACCCCCATGACTTTGTGTATCTCGTGTGTCTGTGTGTTTATATGTAGTTCAGGTTGATGTTTGATGACAGGTCTTTCAAAAGTCTCTTTAAAAATCCAAGTTAGTTTAATAAGATGAAGACTTTGCTGAAACACATAATGTATGTGATGCTAGAATACTTACACTAATATTTTGCTAGGCTGTAAATATTAGTGTAAAACTGCTGTTGCTGCTAATAGACTTCGGGTTCATTACACTGTCAGCTCAGAGTTTTAATCTGTGAGTTTTAAGAGATTTATTTTATAAAACTAAAAGGTGTTGTAGAAATGAGATGTGGAACATTTTGGAGAACAGTGCACTGCTATACATAATTTATTGGGCACTCTTTGTACAGTCAATTGTTAAGTTATAAATAAAATACAGCCTTGAAAAAAGATGAAAGGCTGAAACTGTGGGTAGTTATTTCCTCTGCATTTCTATTAAGAAAAAAAAAAAGTTTCCAAGTTTGTTCAAACAGTCAGGTTTTAGTTTGGTTATTGGTAGTCACAGTACTGTGCCTGGTTTTGGATGTATCATGTTGAAGACTTTCTGCCCCAGGGAGTGCCTTTTGCCCAAGTAAATCTTCTGCAGGCTGCAGGACTGTTCTTAAAGCTCACTCAGGTGCCAAGGCACAACCAAGGGGAAACCAAGGGAGGCAAATGAACCTCTGCCATACAGAATTACCAGGTCCCAGAGCCACTGAGCAGAAGTGACTTGCCCCATCAATGTAAAGTCTCTCGGTGGCCATTCCTGTTGGCACTGCCCATGGTAGTACTTCCCCCATCCCATCTGAGCTTCAACTCCCATTCTTTTTAGGCTGAAGGTACTGAGGGTTGGTGCAGGGACCAGCTCCACAGCCTGCACCAAACAGATGTTTGTTTTCTGCCAACAGAGAAGCCCCTTGAACTGGAGAAATGCATACATTTTTCAGAATAATTTATTATAGGTCCTTGTATTAGTGGTCAGAATGAAGTGAGAAAGAGGTTTCTCCTTTAGAGCCTCTGAGCAGGCTTTTTACCAGGAGTTATTTACTGAATGTGAGCAGCAATAGCACAGGATGGGCCTGAAGAAACAACAAGATATATGGTAAAATTGATAATTTTATTACAGGTCATGGGCTAAGCATCCTTTGCAGTTCCTGCAGAGCAGCAGGAGGTTCTTGGTTTGAAATCCCCCATCCTTCTACAAGTGATGCTGACGCAGACCTGTGATTCTGAGCAAAAACTTTCTGGCTGCTGAAGGGGAAAGACATGACCAGTTTGAACTTAGAAGTGAAACATTTCCTAGAACTAAGTCTGAATAAATTCTGGAACAGTTGAACAGGAAATAAGCTAATAATGGGATTTTACAATATGCATTTCCCATATAAGGCACTGAAATGTAGCATGGGTTTGTTTGCTGATCTTCTGGCTATTTTGATGAAAATTTTAGGTTTCTTCACTGTTTGCAACTCTGTTATGATTATGAGGACTTTACTCCATTCCACGCTGAATTGTTTTTCTCACCACTGCCATCAGTGGACCTTGGATGGACCATTCCTAGACCGGACCAGGGAAAAGACTAGTTAACAATTCCTCCTTGCTGCCTTTTGTTTGTGTCGGGGAGCTATTTCCTTTAGCCCTTGAGACTGATGCATAGGAAGGGGAAGAGAGGTGGGGAGCACCCACCTCGGTGCTGCTCATGCTTCTGAAAATAAGTTCCCCAAAATCTGATGTGGGGAAAGGAAGCCCTGGCTCCAGGGAGCCTGCTGTCTCCCTCAATAAACAAAGGACTGGATTTGGGCAAGTTGCCCAAAGTGTTGGTGCAGGGTGCGTTCCCGTCCTCACTGCTCTGCCTGGCCTTTTAAGGCAGTGGGACAGTCTGCTGGAGACACAGTAAGGTGTGTCATGCAGCCCTGATTAACGAGCATGAGGCTCTTCTGCAACTTCCCTCTTTCTGCAGCATTGGTCAAATTCCCTTCTCCCAAGTAACTCCAGATTTTCAGAGTTTGGCCTCTTCTGCACTAGGAGTGCAATCTCTTGCCAGCTGTTATGCTACATTAATTCAGAGCCACCTACCTCTCCAAATGTGCTCTGTGTTGTGGAACAGGTTTTGCTTGTAAATGTGAGGCCAGATGTTCAGAGGAGGAGAGCTCCTGTTTAGGCATCTTGCAATTACTGCTGGGACACATCCTGATTGCAGCTGAAAATCTGAAATCTGTCTTCTTAGACAGTAAAATACTGGAGCTGGCTAGTTTGTGCAGTGCTATAAGAAGTGGCTTATATGCATATAATTCAGGAGTTCTTTCAAAATAGCATGCACTGAATCACAGCCTCACTTAGTTTTAAACCACAGCTTGTGCCAAACTAGTTATTTTGATCTCTTGCCAAGTAGGAACTAATTTTCCAGTTAAAACTAACATTTTCCTTTTCATTTTTTTCTGAAAAATCTCTTAATGAAGGCTAAACTAAACAGCAAAGGTAGGTCTACTGGCTAGATAAGAAATAGGTCTGATTCATTAATAAATGTCTCTTCTTTTCTAGTGACATATTCGATGCCATGTTCCCCGTCACACACATTGCAGGAGAAACAGTCATACAACAGGGTAATTCTTCCCCTTGATTGTTTTTTTTTCCCCTTATATGTTTTCAGATATTGTACGATTCATTTGATATTTAATGGGAAGAATAACCATATTCCTATAGCACCTAAGTGTGCAGCTACATCCTAAGTTCACAGATGCAGGTCTTTTGCTACAAGCTACAGAAGTCTCCTACAAAACCACACTGGTAGATCTCCAGGGTTTCAAAGTCCTACAGTTAAATGTAGGAAAATATCAATGCAAATCAAAATATTCATTCCTTAACTGAAAGTAAGTCAGAAAGTAAAGCACAGCTCAGAATCCATAAGGCTGGCACAGGCTAGCTGAGGGCAATTAGAGATGGAAAATATTTTCTTGGTTGTTGGGAATATTCAACACCTTATTGTGCTGCATCATCGTTATCACACTTGGCAACTTACTTGTGTAGCATGTTGTGGAGGACTTCGTTGCCCTCAGGCTATATTAAAGCCTCTTGTGTGTTTACACTGAATGAAGTGTTGAATCAATCAAAGGAGATAAATTAATGCAATTGAAAGATATTAACAGGAAGAAATCATAGCGATATTTTAATTTATGAAGGCAAGTAGGCAAGGATGTTTCAGAAAATGAATCTCTGTGAGTAATCTGGTGCACAAACCTGTGCAAATATGTACAGGATTAAATCTGGAAACAGGAAGTTATTGAATAGTTTAGCAGACCTTCAGGAAACAATCACCTTTTGTATTTTGCTTCCAGGTGATGAAGGAGACAACTTTTATGTGATTGACCAAGGCGAGGTGGACGTAAGTACACACTTACAGTATAATATTTATTTTTAATCTACATAATAGCATTACATGCTCTGGCACAGAGCTTGATCCAGCCACGTGCTGTGGTTCTGTCTCCTTTTTCTTGCAACAGATTTCACAGGATTGGTCTCATTCCTTTGCTTTTGTTGTGCTAAGTCATTCGCACGTAATTTAATAATTGGCATGTTTTACATCCTAGCTTTTTTGTCCATTCCAAGCAGGAAAATATGGTATCAAAACCAAGCAGATGACATTATCTACAGAACCCTAACCACACCTGGAGGTGTGCAGTCTTTGGCAGAGCAGGCCACCATGCTGGAATGCACCCGAGGGTTCAGATCAACCATAAGGAAAATATTTTCTTTAATCAGTTAGCTTAGCTCATGTGTTGTTTTTTGGGGTTTTTTGTTGGTTTTTTTTTTTAACCCAAATTGAGATACAGCCTGAGGCAGTGAGTTTCATCTTAGAAACCTTAATTTGCTTTTAAAATTAGGTCCAAATATACGAACAATGCAGCATATTAATAAAGCACGGATTATTATAAGTGTAAAGTGATCTGTTAGACCACAAAATGGTTACAGGAGTATGCAGTGGTTTAATCAGCAAGTCTTTGAAAAGAAGCTTCTTTCTGAACTGCCTTCCAAATAATAATCTATAATCTCTTATCGTTTTTAGCCCCTACGAAACCTATCCTTTTGCAATTTTGAGACAAGTTCCTCTTTTGACTGTATTTTCTCCACACACCTTGTATATCCCAGCTGTCAGACAGGACAGGCTGGCTCATTAGCCATGTTGCTCTTCAGGTGCCCAGATGAGTTTTGTTTGGCATATTTAAAGAAGAAAGTGATTTATTTTCAATCCAGGCAGGAGGCATACAGTTATTTTAGTGAAAGTTATTTCTTTTTTAGCAGTCTGCTTGTGTCAGGAGACCATCTAATTGGTATTGTTGGGAACTGAGAAACCTCACATGCTGCCTGCCTCTGGAAGTTGCTGCTCAGGAAATCCGTCTGACTCACTGTTCCTATCAGACATACCTCTCCTTAGCAAACATTGCCACATCCACGGGGCCAGAAAAGAAAAGAGAGGTATTTATAGAACAGCTCTAAAAGTCAGTTTTAAAATAATTGGTTAGGGCCTGATTCTGAGCTTAATGAGTTCACTGGCTTTGAATCAGACCCACAAAAACAGGCAAATGCACCTATTGAAGTTTTAGATTAATCCTCTTTAAAAATGATTTGTCCTTGCTCAAAACCTTTAGGGAAGTTTTCTTCAGCTTCTGGCTCAGGGGCAGTAGGGGACCAAATGACATGAGAAAACTGTCAGCAAAATCCTTGCAAATATTTGCAAAAAAGATAATCTTCAAATATGCACACACTCTGACAAAGCAGTGACAAAATGGGGAAAATAAATGTCCAGTGCCAAGCCAGCCTTGTGTCTGCTTGTGAAACCAGTGCATGAGGTTGGTTGTGGATTTTCTGTTACTGTTGGTTGCCACTAATGGCCAAGTGGGTCCTGGCTCTGCAAATGTTGAGGACTTGTTTAGAGCAGCAATTGCTGTATTCTCTGTCAGGTAAGATGGCATCTTAGTTTCCTTGACAGCTGTATCCTGACATCTACTCAGAAACTGCATCTTGTTATTTGTGTATCAGAGATTCTCCTTGTTTTTGTGGCAAGTTGAAATAAAAAAATAATGACCACAAATGATCCAAGAAGGGACATGTGCCCAGATCATTTTTAATTAATCATTTTTTGAGCTCATGGAAGTCTTTTACAGAATAATCTTATATTTCCCAGAGCAATCTGGAGACCTGTGAGGCTTCTGAGGTAGGATTTGGGGTACAATTTGAAAAACTGCCTGAGTGACTAAATGGCCTGAGTGCCACTGCCATGAATTACATGTAAGTCCTTAAGCTGGAGAGATGTTTTTGAAGATTTTATCCCAGACCCCTGATTTGACAAGTCAAGCAGCAGTCCTCCTTTAAGCACATGAGCAATTATATTAACTTAAGTGGGACTCACTGCTTTAAAGCTAGCAAAGAGCATAGTGCACAGCTGTATTTTGCACTGTTGAAAGCAGAAGTTTTCTTTGTATTCTGAGTAGTTTGCAGTCCTCCAGTCACTTAGGTATGATAAAGGACATAAATTTTTCCTGCCTGGTCTGTGAGATTTGCAACAGCAGATTTTTCTAAGGAATTAATGAAATAACATGGGTTTATTTGGGTAGACTGCAACTTCACTTTCACAAGCATTCACAACTCCTACTCCCCTAACTGCCAAGATCAGCTATAGCTTCTAGGACAGGTCAAAATGGACAGATCTACAATAGTGTCATCCTGACACTTCTTAGACATGCTTATGGGCAGTTTTCTGATATGACCTGTGAGACAAATACACCCTAACAATACATAAGAGATTTGATTTGGATGTAGCTTATTCCAGGGTCAACCAAAGCTTCTGGCCCCCTGAGTCTTGCAAAACCCTTCTTTGACCAGCTTTCATGCTGTCCCTTTCATCCTGCTTCACCTAATCACTGCTCTCCCCATCTCCTGAGCTGGGTGCTCTCTCTTCCTAAGTCGTCCCTGTATCTTGGGCCAAAACACACTGAATTCCTTTGCAAGATACTGAGGAAGGCACAAGAAACATCTGCTCATCTGGGAGCAAGTTGCAACTATGCCCTGGTAGCTACAGAAGTCACTTGCATTAACTGCCTTTGCTGGGAGGCTGCAGGGAGGAGATCCCCTTTCCTCCCCCCAGAGGAAAGTCTGTAGCAGCGTACAGAGCCTAGTACAGGGTCAGGTTACCTTGCAATGCAACCTGCCTCTGTGCAAGGTAGCAGCTCCCAGACCCCATGGGTGTGAACTGTCACACCATATCTAGTGCTCCTCAGAAAGTATTCTTCCATTTTCTGGGCAGCAGTGCTAAAATACTTACTGTCTAAAGAAAATCCAGACCACTAATAAGTGAGCTGTAGTTCATTTAAGCCTTGCCAGAGAGTTTTTTGGCATGTTTCCACCCTCTACAAGAGAAAAAAGTGACTTGGAGAGTAGAAAATTGACCCCGAGACTTAAAGCTTCAAGCCATTTTCTGCTGGTGTTGGCGTGTGCATGGAGGCTTTTAACCCCTGGCCAGGCTGTTTGCCTTCAGCATTTCCGTGATCTGCACACAAGTAGAAGCTTTACCAGGACTGCTGGATTCCAGGAGCAATTTATTCTGAGAATATCATGACTGGTAAGCACCCAAATTTTGCCATTCAAGTGCAAAGATACATGTAATGGAGGTCATAGCTGCCATCATAAAATTGCCATCACCTGGGGGAAAGTGAAGGTAAAAGTAAAAAAATATAAACTATCAACTGTTCAACCAAACCCAAACAAAACCAACTAACAAACCAACCAACAACAAACAAACAAAACCAATGTGTGACATTTTGAGTTTTAAAACCCCACACATTTCAAAGTAATTTGCTATTAGAGTTTTTCAATAGGCAAAGGAGTAAGGCAAGGAGTAAGTAAGAGCGTTCTAATGTCTTAAAAATAATCTGAGTCAAACTAGAGGTAAAATAAAGTATGTTTAAATATAAAAATGTTTCCTTAATCATTTCACTTTCTTAGGGTATAAAGAAGTGTTGTTAGCATACAATAAATTGCCCACACATTTCCTTCTTGGTAATTCTATGGACAGCCAAAGAAGACTTTCTGAAATCCCCAAAGAAGACCCTTCCATGGGTGAGCATGTTCAACATGGACTGTGGACTAAGGGAGAAGGGCACAAATTTTCATACATAAACCAAAGCTTTTTAGAAATCAGAAAAAAGGCAGTCTTGAAGAACTTGGGGTTTTCCTCTCATGCAGTGTATGCTAAAAAGCAGAGGCACTTTGACCAAAGCTGGCATTGGCCATTATAGTGTTACCAGTTGCAGTCTTCTTCCTTAGCACTTCAGGGTTGAGGAGCATGGCTAACTCATGACCTGGCGCTGCAGATGGATACATCAGGTAGATGATGGCACCAGGTTTGAAGTTTTAGAGGTCAGTTGTCTACCAGAAGCTTTTCTGCTCAGACAAATGTGAATGTATGCCCAAAAAGTCTCTGGCAGAGCTTAAATTATAGTTTCCAGTAAAGATGTTGAAAGTACCTGTTAAAGTATGTGTCTTGCAAAAATCTCTAATCCATATTTCTAAATATAAAAATGACTTCCTGTTTATTATTTTTAATCTTATGACCTCACAATTTTTTTTACTTTAAAAAGCACTGTGAACTACCCTTTTAAGGCAGATATATATTTTTTTTTAGACTCAACAACTTCCTATTCTATTTAATGTCACAGCAACTTTCTTTACAGTAATTCTCAGGTTTTCTTCTTGTAAAACAACAGCAGCCAAACTATGCTATGGTCAAAATCAAAATGAAAACTTCTCAGTGGTTTTTCTTAGCTTCTGCATTTACTGTATAAAGTTATATCTGGAGCTATAAATTAATATTATGGACAACAATATGATTTTTTTTTTATTAAAGTAAGTGACATCATCTTGAAGCCTTTTTATATATATATATGAATTGTCTGATTTGTGTATATAAAGATGAAAATGTTATGGTGGCTCATGTAAGAATACTGTTGGATTTTAAAAATAGTGATATTTTATGGTTAGATGCCATAGGTTGCTTTCTGTTTGATTTCTTCCATCATTACCATTCTTCCTAATTTTAGAAGATGCTTTCTGAAATTTGAAACAGAAAATTTTCAAGCTTGGAGTTTTCAGCTTAAATTTTTTGGGGTTCTCAAGGCAGTCTCCAAATTAGTATATTTATGCACATTCATACTACAAATAGAGCACTGGCTTTTTTTGAGAAAACTACCTACATATAAATACTCCTCATGTTTCAGACTGCTTATTTTCCCTAGAATAAATGAACCCCATCTTCATTTTGGGATAACAAATATTAAGGCTAGACATGATACAAAGCACCAATCATTACAAACAGATTTGAGGGAAGGGATTTAAGATCTAAAAGCTGCAATGTCTGGAACAAATCAGGTAGTCTGTTAGTGCCTATGTTCATCTCAGCTCATGAAGAAAGGAACTGCTGATGTTCACAGGAGATTTTTTAAGTTTACCTCCTTAAAAAGTAATGAAATTAACCAAGTTGTGTGATTTTTAAGTCCACAAAAATTGCAGTGCTCATACTGTGTGATGGCAAACAATAGAAATCTAAAGTAGTTTTGATCTGTGGAAATGGGGATCTGCAGTTCCATGTTCCTCTTCAGTTGCATGAAGGAAGAGGGTTCCAGCTATTGAGGAGCTGTAATTGGCAGGTCAAGGAACAATTAGGAGTAATTAATTTATGTACCCACCACTTTGGTGAGAGTTCATTAGTGCCTAAAACTGCCTGAGTAAAAACTTTAGCCCAGTGTTTTTTAGGATAAAGAAGGAGATCATCTGAGCTGCTGCCATAAAACACTGGCTTTCATAATCCGTTCTGAGCTTAAAATAGCTTTACTTCCCACACCTTACAAACAGAGCCACTTTCTACTTTTTTTTTTTAAAATGTATTTTAAAGGGATTCATACTGGAGCTGAACTCTCTGTGAATAAAGGCATAAAGGCACTTTAACTTCATTATGAAGCCAAAGTTGATTGTTGACTTAGGCCTTTGCAGAAAATTAAGTGCAATGGTTTTCCTCCTAGAAAACAATGGTTATTCTCAAGTTGTTTTCTCTTCTGCAGCTTGGTGTTGGAAATGGCATTTCCATGAATGGAGTTCAGCAGTGCTGCTGGTACTGCCCCTTTTCACTGAGACCTGAGAGTTCTCTTGCTCAGCTGAACTGCTCCACAGCCTCCTCCATCTCCTACTGAACCAGCATTTCACTGACCTCAGTATGAGCTGGATCAGATCTTAATTGAATATTGGGAAGATAAACTGGGATTGATTCCAGCTGTAGTTTGTAAAACACTTTTTCATCATAGACTGAAGATAGAAGTAAAATTAATACTGACAATTTGTTGAATTTTGACCCCAGTTCATTTATTTTGGTCACCACCTTTTCTTACGCTCAGCTTGAACACAGCTCTGATTCATATATTTTTTAAAACCTGCTAGTCTGTTACCCAGCAATTGGTATATATATTATGGTCTTTTCCTTTGCCATATTCTTCTCCTTATGATGAGAATACCTGCATATTTTCTTTATACTATATTTCTTCACAAAGCTTCCAAGCAAATTCAGTTCCTTCTGTCTGATTTCTGCTGTTATTGGTCTGGAATAGACTGGGATATGTTCTGCACTGGGTATATGCACACAGTCTTTCCTACCCTCTAAATTCACAGGCACATTAACAGAATGAAAAGGGTTTATTGTGTAGGTTCATAGCAGCAAGCTGCAGAATACACAATCCATACCAGCCTTTGAATACACTGTTATGTCCCATGAGCTGTGTTGTCCATGAATAGTGAGGAAAAGGCAGCCAGGGAAAGCACCTGCACCAGCCTTCCTTTTTCCAGTGAAGGTTTTACACAGTCAAATCAGACATCATCCAGGAAAATTACTGTGATAGTGGTATTGATCCAGGCCTTGTTTTGAGAGGATTTGTTCTCTAAATAGGCTGTGGGCCAAATAGTGGTTCCTAAGTTCTGTAGAGCTGAAGTTGGAAGGTGAAGGGTAATTCTACACATGGCTTCTCCAGTCCAAAGCACTTAGTAGCCTTCACTAAGGGAGAAAGAGATCTCAGTAATTATATTTAAATGGCTGTTGGAGGCACTAGGCTTAGGGAAGAAAAAAATGTTCCTTTTCAAGAGATGATTCCCTGTTTTGACTGTTTTTTGTTTCATGGCCATGGTGCTTTTCAGCAAACCTCATTACATGTATCAACAAATCTCCCTCCCTTCAAGTCTGACAGTGTTAATAAAAAGCCAAAGTTGTGACAGTTCTGCTTGTTGGCTGTCTGAGCCTTGAACACAAGAGGAAAAACACGATGCCAGTTAACCATGGGAGCTGAAACTCACAGAGTAAATACAGCCATTGTACTGAAGCAAGACGACTTGAAATTCTGTCCACAAAGCAGGTTGCTGCCCTCTTTGGGGAACAACTGCAGAAACTGTGAGGCTCTTGTTTTCCTTCTGTGTCCCCAGCATTGACAATTAGAAAGGAAATTACTAATAGCTTTTTAGGTAACTGGCAGTGGGAGCAAGACTGCAACTAAGTCCTCAGACTGATTTGCTTCTTGTTTTGTCTTGTGCTGTGGTAGGTTTATGTCAATGGGGAGTGGGTCACCAGCATCGGAGAAGGAGGCAGCTTTGGGGAGCTGGCATTGATCTATGGAACACCCCGGGCTGCCACTGTCAAGGCCAAGACAGATCTCAAGCTCTGGGGCATCGACAGAGACAGCTACAGACGCATTTTAATGGTGAGTTTCTGGAGAAGGGCTTGTTAATGGAGTTAATATTTTTTCACTTTCTTTTGTAGCACTGGTACTTCTGTTCAGTGGTCAGAGTGCAGTGATGATAGCAGGCTACACAGTCTGTTTCTACATAAAAGAGAGAGGACATGGCAAAAACACCAAGTAACTAAATCAAGTGAATTGAAGGAAAAGGGGACAGGACTCAGCAGAAAGATGCCGAGTCAGAAAGGTGATTGAATAACTTTATGCATAACTATTATACATGAATGAAAACTTCAGGAGGCCTGTATCACCCACTGAAGCTCTGCAACTCTTCTCCTTATTATGAACCTGAAAATGTCTTTCAGCACTACCCCTTGCCAGAGGTCTTTGTCTGAACTTGTATTATACTCTTGAAGGCAGGCAATGCAAGGTAAATCCAGCTCTGCTGAAAAACAAAGAAGTCCAGTTGTAGCGTGCCCTCCATCCTCATTAGCCGACACCCAGCCACACATACCACAGGCCTCCTAATGATTCGTTGCTCTGCTCCTTTCAAACTCCCTCATCTCTGCAGCAATGCTCAACAGACCTCCTAGCCACCTGGGATGTGTGCTGGCTTATGGATTTGCTGTTGGTTCTTGAGTGGTGAGTTTATAACGGAAACTTTGTCAGATAATTAACTTCAGTAATGTCATAACTTTTTTTATGAGTTTTTTTCTGATGTCCATATGCATATCTTCCTTCTCCATAAAATATTCCTTTCTTTTTGATGATTAACAGACATAACTCTATGTAAAGCTTCTTTCTCAATAGGACTTGTCTCTAAAAACTGCATTGTTTCATTCTTATCTGAAGGAAATGACACTATGCTCTTAGAATAATGAAGGAGTGTTCATTTTGAGATCATCTATATTTCCAGTGGATGTCATGGATAACAGAAAAATTAGCAAAAGGATTGAGTAGATTTTACAGTTAAATGATTAGTTCTTAAGCAACAGAGTGCAAGAGAGATCTTTAATTACACTGTGTGATGACTGTTGGATGTCTGTATGAAGCATTGCTGGTTTCCACTCTGTATTTCACGGGCTGAGTTCTGTTTTGCATAAATGAACATTACACTGACATCCAGAAGAGTACATCTGATGGAAATTTACTCTATTCCAAAATATTCAGCCTGATTGCTCTAAGACAAAATAGAGGAATAATGACAAGAAGTGTACTGTCTTCTCTCTTGTGAATAACAGGATGAATAGTTTTTGAACGCTTCACTGTGTGGAGGTGCAGGCAGTAGTAATTAGCACCTTTTTGGAAGGTATTTCTAAAACACAGAGCAGGAGAATTTCCTAACCAATTTAAGAGGGACACTCAAGTTATTTGTCCCATATCCTACATGGAGGCAATGGAAGGGTGACTGGGATAACTGGTGCCATGAACCTGCGTGCTGCAAGGAAGAATTCAAGGTATAAAAGAGAAAGGATGTTGGAGGAAAATAAATGTCAGGATGAGCCACATATTCCTTGGCATTTTAAGCACAGCTTTTTACAGCTGCCTGCAAGCTTGCTATGAACAAACTGAAGGAACAGACTCCCAGGCCTTGTAACCTAGAGGTGATTTCAGTTTTAGCAACAATGAATGCTAAAATTCATGCTAAAAATAATGGAACCTAACACCATCCAACTCTGTGAGATTTCAGGTTTGGTCATGTGTCCATTACCATCTGATAGCAGCCTTCAGAAGATGAATATTTGAAGTAGAGACAGGATTTTACTAAAAGGATTTAAAGTCCTAAGTGGAAAAGACTGTAGTTTTAATGCTGCCTTTACACATACACACAAGTTTAATACTATAGATTTACTTCTATTTGATTCTAGTATGGTGCTATGTGCTTTTCAAATTAATTTACATATTATCTGAACCAGTGACCACTGTACCTTATGGAACCAACTCCGTTTCTGCAGTTGATGAGACCCTTAGCTTAGCAAGGAGGTGTTTTCTCTCCCTCTCTCTCTTTTTGTGTTGTTTTTCCAGTTGAAGCCATTAAAAATTGGTGGTCTGTTGCATTACATTAGATACCTGGGCAGTGTAATTATAGTATTCCCAATACTTAGAAAGGAAATATTTCAGATAGCATGGTGAATTAATTGCTACAGGTACAGAAAATGTCCAATTTTAAGTGCTATCCATGGTGAATGCAATTTTCCCACCCAGACTACATGAATTCTGTCATCTTTTCATTTATTTCTGGGTGCAGCATGGATAATTTCTTTGCTGTGGGTGAAATGAGACACTTGTCTGTGTGCATTCGTGTGAGGGCAGGTTACAGTGGCTCTCTGTACATTTCCTCAAGCCTAAGAATTAATTACATCATGTTTCAGTGGCTGCATTTCATACTTGAAGCTAACTCCACCATTATGTGGCTGGTTTTGCTGTACTCAATTTCAAGATGTAGTAGTTCAAGCCTTTCAAGTCCCAGAAACATGGTTTCTTGCCTTCTAGACTCTAACCTTATGTTTCTAGAAAGTTGCTGGATATTTTGGATGTAGAAATGCTTCTGCCTTTAAATAAGGGGTAGCAATGTTTAGGATATCTTTTGAAATATGGCATTTAAGTTGGTTTTACAACTGGAGAGTGAGCAAGTTTTCTTTTATTTTCTGTTTGAAAATACTTTTGTCCAAGGGATCAATGACCTTTTTCTCCCAAAGATTTGTTTTTCTTCTCTAGTCAGATAAAAAAGCCCTAGATGGTTTTTGCTTTCATCTGCATTCCCTCCCGGGCATGACCAGCCCCATGTTTTCTAAGTCTGGTGTTGAAATTTTATTCAAATTGTAAATATTTATTTGCAAATCATGCCTTCAGATCCACACTTGCCAAAAAGATTTTATCCTGTCATGAGACGCTTGGCTCTCTCCCTCATTTCTCCTTGCAGCTCTCTTTTGGTTCATTGCTTTGCATTTTGTAATTTCTAGTTTTTATTTCTTAGTGCCATTTTCCCCAATTACGTGTCTTATTGATCCTGACTGGTTTATGGTATGAATAAAATGCATCTCAGGAAGTCTGGAAGTTTGGGGTTTCCTTTTTTTAAAGTGGACAAAGTCTAATGCAAAAAATTTCTGCAGGCTTTTAGTTACACTTGTCAGCCATTTATTATTTAGCCTGTCTCAAAAGAGGTTTGTTAAAACAGATATATTTCTTTCTATTTAATTGTCTCAGCTTAGGTATCCTGATGACTTGAAGGTCACATTCAAGTACGTTTTAGCAGCTGTGATGATTGTAAATGTTGGGATAGTTCTTTTAGTTAGGATTTGCAGTGAAATTGGTTGGCTTTCACTTCAGACCTTGACGAAGTATTATACCACGAAATCCATTGTACTAGATGGGTTACAAAAAACCACTTCAACATGTTCCCCCCTCAGTGCACTCACAAATTATCATCTGTCCATTTGTGTGTTTCAAAAAATTTTCTGTGCTGAGTTGCATACTTTTCACTCTGTTGCAGATTTTTTAATGTATACATTCTCTGTGTGTGCACACCCAAGCACACACACACATATTTATGTATATATTCTGTATTTATTTACTTACATTCTTCTGGGACAGATGCAAAGGAATTTTTCGCCAGAGGATTCGCATGTAATTCAGCTGCTGAAATGTTGCTACTCTCTCCTTTGCAATTGGGATTCAAGAGCATCACAGAGTGGGGAACATCCCAGGGTAGTACAATATTTGTATTCTAAATATAGCAAATACCACAAATACCAGAGAAGCAAATGTCTGTATCCCAACATCAGATTGATCCCCCAGACAATTCAGTTCCCAGACTGAGGAAATTTGCAGTATTAATTTATTGTAATTTCTTCTTTAAGAAGGCTTGATTCTGGATAACTTCACTATCCTCTAGTTCCCATGGTCCAAGATACCTGGCTCTGAAAGCAGAGCTACTGGGATATATGTTTTGCCTAGTTGACAAACTTTGCTTGCAAAAATTGAGTTGTAATATTGGGATTGTAAATCATGACAAATCTAGGTTAGTCAGTAATGCCTCACTTTGTTTATGCTATTTTGGCTTTGTTTTATCATTTTTTCACATCTTTGAACCTGTGAACTTGTTTTCAGCTGCCTTTTTCCACTCAGACAGAGTAAGTCAGCAGCACTTCTTGTTTCTGTAGAATGTAGGTTACATGGTGGCCAAAACATAAAGCAAATCCGAAGTCTGCAATCTGTCCAACATCTGTGCAGTGTAGCACTGGGGTCGTGCAGGCTGTTTGGTTGTCATGGGCAGCAGGCACAGTGACTCTTTCTTTCATGCTGTAAGAATGTACACCCAAAGCATCATTCAATATCAGCATTATGCAGGGATTAAATGGTGCTGGAGTAGTTCAGAAGGCCATTCTAGCACGTCCTGCCAGTGTAACTCTTTTGTTTGAAACTTGAGCCGTGCTTGGCCTTTTGGCAGCCATTAGTTTGGCTTCTTACTGAAGGTGGGGATTTCTAGGAAGGACCTGATCAACTCCAGCCAGCCCATCTGCACACCCCAAAATATGGAGCAAGCAAGAAGACATGAACAGTGCGGGAGTGACAAAGCAAAGAGACAAGCAGAGGTTGAGAAGGACAGAGACCAGACTGGAGCAATGGGAAGAAAAACTGGAAGAAAACAAGGGAAGTGAAGAAAGGGCAGTTGGAAAAGAGATGCAACAGTCCTATTGAAGAAGACCTGTTATAATCTCTGGGGCATTCATTTTTCCTACCCTCTGTATTGCTTAAGCTAAGCCTAGGGCTTGCTACATTTTTAAGTGGTCCTAAAACTGGCTTTGAGCTCTTTTCTGGGTGGATTTGGCAAAATGCAAGTGATTTTCTTTCTCCTTAGGACTGTTTCTGGGAGGAGCACTGCAGCTTAGAATATTAACGAGTCTTTGTAATTAGTGGGAACCACTGTCTTTAAGAAGATGAACTTGTGCATGACAGCTCAGAACTGGGGAGAAAGTGAACAAAGGAAAGGAGGGAGAGGGAGAAACAGTGACTATTGAAAGAAGATATTAATAGGTTAGCAAAAGCAGAATTAATAAAGACTTTTTAAAACATGCCATCAAGAACTCTGCCAGTGCAGAATTATTCACATACATTTACTATTGTTTTTATCTTGTTCAAGCAGTAAGATTTCTACTGCTTCTCTTGGGAAGCTTTTCTGCTAGAGATTAATTCCTAAGTTGGGAAAACTTTTTTGATATTCATCTTAAATTAGATTTTCTTCATTTTCTCCTATTACTTTGAGTTATGTCAAGTTATACTGTACTAACTTGCCCTCTCTGTCATGTATCTGTAGATTATTATCACTCTCTACTTAAAGCCTTTGTAGCAATTCTTGCTAGCTATGAGTATAATATACCTATGATCCCAGTCTTGGAACTGACCTATAGAGGCTGAATTTGTTTCCCTCCTTCCCTACCAGCTGTCCCCAAGTGTTTTAGCAGTTCTTTGGGCTCTGTTTGGTTTGGGAGCACTTTCCTGGAGAAGAGGTACCCAGGCAGAGTGTAGCAATGCACCATCACGTAAGAGCCATGGAGATGGAGCCTCTAAACTTCATTCCTGGATGATGTCTTTGAATATACAGACCAAAATAGCCTTGGCTATATTCTTGTTGCAGTCTGATGTTGCAAACCAGGTCTCCCCTACTGTCTGTAAATCTCTGTCAGCTTTACAGCTTTCCAGTCTTCTTCCGTTTGTCAAACATCTGTGCTTTGGATTTTTTTCCTCACATATCTGAGCTGTATTTTCCAAACAGAAGCTCATTCTATTATGTTCTATTCCCGTTTATAATGTCTCTAGGTCCTTTCTTGTTATTTTCCTGTCTTGGCAAGCTTTCATAGTATCTCCTAGTCTGCAGATATCGTTACTGTTGGATTTGTTGCTGCTTCTAGGAGATCCATGAAAATATTGCATAAGAACTGACTTAGCATGTGTCCCAAGGAGGGTACTGCTTGACACTGCTGAAGAAAATACTTGAAGGGGAGTAGAGGAAGCTATGAAAAGCTGATGAAAGAAGATGGGAAATAGGCATGTTCAGGGGGTGAAAAAGATGCTTAACATCAATGGAAATCAGCATATGCTTTGATTTTTGTAACAATTCTACTGCTGAGTTGTTTTTAGCTTATGTCAGAGTAGTGTTATCCCAAAATCTCTTCCCCTCACTCTGCTTGTGAAAGCTTGAGCAGGAAAACACACTCAAGTGAAAACAATGCTCATGAGGGTGAGCCAAGCTTCTCCTTTCTGGAGAAGCTCAACCTCTGGTGCTTCTCTAGGTCCTGTTCTCCTTTACCTTTGTGGTATTGTTCTGAGATGTAGGGTAGTTAAGACAGCAAAGCTAATGCATAAGTGAAGTCCAAATGAGGTTTGAGATACTATCACAATAAAAAAAAAAAAATTAAAAATAAAAAATTGTACTAGCACACTTAATTAATTCTTTCCACTTCAGTTTTACTTTTGCACTTGTCTTCCTAGTGAATTCTGTACCCCTGCCCTGGCTTTGTTTAGCCAAGATGTAACACACCAGTTTTCCTGTAGGAAGTGATGGCTGCTGCTCTTGGGTCTGGGCAGGATGCCTGCAATCCTCACCTTCCTGGGCCTTGTCTGCATCTCTAAATACTCGAAACTGTGGTCAAGAGTCATTCATGGCTACTGATTACTGCTTCTTAAAATTCATCTGTGTCTGCAAGTCATTTAAAAAGCATTTTCCACATCTGTCCCTGGGTGCCTCAGCCCATCAAACTAAACCACCAATCTGGTTTTCCACAGCTGTCAATTTTGCTAGTCTCTTTTCCACTGGATTGCAGGGAGGGAAGCAACAACTGCGCAGTGTCCAGTTTTCCATTCTTTGTCTCGCCGCGAGCTGTCAGGCTCTGGCGAGGTTTGCACAGCCTCCTCCGTTTGAAGTTCGGGGTTGTTTTTTTTCTTTCTGGCACTTCAAATGCTCTCGAAGGCCCCTGAAGTTGAGAACCAGGTTTGTCAGACAGAGAGGTCAGACGAGGGTTACCGATGCTATCGCCGACAGGAGACCTGTCATCACCGGGCTCGGAAATTATAAACGGGGTGTAGAGGGGGAGACCTTGGTAGCTGCTGCTGCTGATCCTGAGATACCTGGGAAGAGTGGCAGCTCCTGCTAGTCCTGTGGCTGTTATGGAACATGGGTGGCCCCAGGAGAGGGTTGCAAATGGCAAGTGTCCCCAGAGGAGAGCACCCAGCAGCACCTACTTGTGGCAAAGCCCATTGATGTTGGTAGAAGGATTCACGTTGCTCTGGTGGTCGTTGGATCTGGCCCCACCTGCACAATGTGTGTAGGAAGAAGGATGATGTTTAATTCTTAGTTAAGGCATTGCACTTGAGCACACCAGCCTTTCCCATTTTCATACTTTAATGCGTTTGCAGTGGAGAGTAAAATGTTTCTTTTCCTTTTTCTTTGTCTATCCCCACTTTCTGCCTCTGCTTCCAGCACTGACCAGTGCTCACTTGGAGAAGGAGAAATAGAGAAGTGGCTTTTTCTGTGACAGACATGACATCTGGCTATGTCTTTCCTGTCCAGCCTATAAGCAAATGCCATCTTTATTTTCCTTTCCTACAGAAGATGAGTGTATCATCTTTTTGCTGTACTCCTGTCTTGTAGATTTGACTAGCAGGCATCAGGCAGCCTTTGGCATCCACCGGGAATCTGCCCAGGCAGAAATTATGGGGCTGTCATATAATAATGTGGAATAAACTGCAAGGTACCAAGGAAGACCCTGGAGCTCCACAGTGGTCCCTGGGACAGTTTTCTTTTCAAGTTATTTGTGTCACTGCAGGAGCAGTTAAGGATAAATTAATTATTTTTGCATTGGTAAAATTGCACTGTATGTTTTTCTACCTGAATCACCTTAAAGAAATGTGTGCTGGGATGGCTACTTCCAGTTTCTGTCTATGGTGAACAAACACTATGTAAGCAGAATTTCTCTCAGTAATTTATCACACAATAAAATCTTACTAGAGTGGAAACCAGTCTGCTGGTGGCTGCAAATACACTGATGGCTTGTCTGCTCAAAAAAGCTTAAATATTTTAAGAATACTAATACGGATATGTTGCTCAGCAGTATTAAAACATACAACACCACCCAGAATATAAACCAGGCTTACAGATAAATGCTCTTGACATTAAAGAGGTTTTAACCTAGAAGGATGGGACCCATGAGGAGGACATTTAAAGTTTTATCCTACTTTGTCAATTCTCTTCCAGCAGGGCCTGACTGGTAACAAAATATATGTTGAATTAGTGAAATGGTTAATTGATGAAGCACTGGCTTTAAAATGAGTCCCTGTGAATAATGGCTACAATTCATCCAAAGTGTCCAGTAATACCAGTGAAGTCAGTGAAATTGCACCAGGATTGAATTAGATTCCTTCTGTCTTTGCTTATCAGCAAGTCAACTTGCCCAGACATTTTATAGGGAAACATTTGCCTTAGGCTGTTTATACTGGCTGTGCTTAAAATTTGGAAGTGAAGGGAAGAAAAAAAAGAGTAGCTGTAGGAAGAAATCACAAGAATCACAAAAATACTTTGTGTGATGTTGTACCTCCTTTTTCTCTCTCTTTTAATAACAGGGCAGCACACTGAGAAAGCGCAAGATGTATGAAGAGTTCCTGAGCAAGGTCTCCATTTTGGGTCAGTTGCCCTTTGGACTTCCTCTGTTATATGTGTTGGTGGAATGAATTTTGGTCTTTGATGGCACGATGAAAGAAAGGTGGTCAAACAGAAGGTCTCACAGTTGCATTGTTTCTGAAGGAATGAAAGTGTAAAGGGCCCTTTTTAGGATTTGTTTTTCTCATTCTTTATATGCACAGAACGTGTTTGAAGGGCAAATCTTTCCTTAAATATGGAAGCAGGTGTGCACTGGTAGCCTTTTGGTAGCTGCTGTTGCATCAGAGATCTTAAGGATAGAGGAGAAAGCAGTGCAGAGATACAAATTTGTCATAAAGTCTGGTTACATCCTTCCAGATGACAGGTGAGAAGCTTTTTCCTGTGAGAATACTGTATTTATCTGCACTAACCTCACTAATCTCACAAATCAAAATGGACTGATTTTTTTTTTTCCTTGGGTATTTTACAGCCCCTGTCTCACATTCTTAAAACATCTGTTTAGCTTCTTGTCCTTGGATTTTGTTTCCCTTTGATTAATGTGATAGCCACGAAATTTGGGCATGTTCTTGATGGCCTTCAGTAGGAAAAACAACAAACCCATAATGCCTGACCAATCAATCATCATTAGAAGAACAAAAGCTTCTAATAAGGAGGACAGTGTTAGACAGTACAATGAAATGTTGGTGCTGCAGAAGAAACATCATGTTTCTGCTGGGGCTATTTTGCAAAAAAAAAAAAAAAAAAGAAAGAAAGAAAAAGTTCAGGATTAATTTGCTATATAATTAAAGTCTTTATATTTCTACTTAAGCAATTTCCTGTCCTTGTTTATGGTATTCATCTACCATTTGAGCTTAAGTACCTGAAATATGAGAGCATCTCAGTGAAAATGTACTTGAACTTCTGAGAGGTGCAATGCATGAAATTTTCAATTACATTTGTATGCTTAAAGTAAGGCCAAGTATGTTGTTCACTTATTAATGAAGTCTTCATCATTTAAATGCCTTTTGTTATGCTTAATTTAAATCTTCCTAATTTAAGAGCACAAATTATAGCAAATTACAATGAGTATTTAAAGAAAAAAGGATCTCTGCACCTGCACTAATGAGGAGCAATTACAACAATGAGACATCTCAAGACAATTTCAGAGTAGAAAGGTTATCCAAAGATGTGCTTCCTTAAACATGTGGTTTGCCATGTAATTATAACCTAGTTTGTAGCAGTTTTCCAATCTCATTTCTGTCTCTTTCCAATGAAGAAGGACTTCATTTGAACCTTTTTTTGAGTACCAGGCAAAATAACTCACCATTTCAGGAGCACTGAGAATTTAGGTGAAATGTGTGAGGATCTATTTCATGTGTCTAAAAACTGGATGGCAGCTGGGAAGCAGAAATATATTTTAGAAATCTCAGCACAGCACTGAGAAGTCAACTTTACTTCATGCCTTAGGGTGGTTAGAACTTGGTGATTTTGTGGTAGAAAAGCCTCTGCCTGAGTCTTGTTTATGTTTTTTCAAGGCTTGCATAGTGTCTGTAACCAGCCATATACCTGGAAGGGCAATTTTATTGGTTTTAGTATAAGGATTTTTTAGATTATCAATAGCTGTTTATATTGTACTGAGCAAGATGTGAGAAACATAACTGTTTCCATTTTTTAATTTTCTGGGGTTTTATTAAATGGAAAGCCATGAATTCATACATACCATTTAGAAATTGAAAACAAAAATGTATATGGTCTACTCTGTTTGATGCCTGACTTAAACTCTGCAAGTAAAACTTTAGGAATTTTATCATGTAGAATTTTTATATGATGCTCTGTTTGCAAAAGCCATTACCCACTGTATTTGTAGTGGTACAATTCCCTTAGACAAAAGAGACACTTCGTGACTACAGCTGGAATTAGCTTTGAATTTTTCATAAAGCCAACTGAAGAAGTTTCAAGAGACTCCTTTTCATTGTTAGTTACTGAGTTCTTTTTTTTTTTTTTTAATGAAAAAGCCTACTCTAGTCTGTATGAAGGAGTTTTATGCTTATTTTTAGTCCAACAGAGCACTTTTTGAGTGTTGCATTGACAATATGGGCTTGGTCTTTGATATTAATGCTTCTGCAGCAAAGGCCACAAAGACACCATAAACCCACGAGGGTGTATGTGTGTCAGGCAGCTCAAAACCTATCTTTGGTGCATTGATCACTTGGATTTGGTTTTGTTACCAGACTCTGTGTGTGCTTCCAAGCTGAGCCAAAAGGCTTTTGAACTATTTCACCTTCCAACAATACCTCTAAGCAATATTTTGAACAAAATGGGAGAGCTAGAATCTGAGAGAACAGCATAGATGTAATCCTGGTGTCAGGAGATGTGTCTTGACTTACAATAGTTCAATAATTCATAATAAGTGCTCTAGTACATGAATTTTAAGCCCATCATTTTAAGGCAGTGAAGGTAATATATCATTGTATTACCTGGTATTTCAAGAACTTTTATACCTCTCACCTCTTTCAGTCAAATCTGATAAAGTACAGAAGTTCAAGTACAATTCATTGCCTGGGATCCTCACAAAAACGGGTGGAGGAGAGAGAAAGAGGCTGGCACCTCTCCTCTCCCTGAGGGCAGGATGGGTAAAACCCAGCCCTTAGCAAAGGTGGGAGGGAGGAAGAGAAGGAGGAGAAAGGCCCCAAGACAGTGAGCAGCCCTGGTCTGAGCTGCTCTGCAGGCTGTCTTTTCAGTGCAGGTATGACAAGGGATTTGTGGCAGCTGCAGGTGGGTGATAAGGACACCAAGGCACAGGAAACAGGCTGTGTTAGCTCCATTACTCATAAAACAGACCAGTCATTTTTTCTTATTGAAGTTTACTTTGAAGTTTTATAAGTTTTCCCCCTCAGTGGGGGAATGAAGAGAAAAACACTTTGTAAACCATCCTGCAGGCAAGTGAATCAGAGGTGACATTTCAAACATCCATACTGAGGTCTGGTCCCACTGCCACCCATGCTGCCAGGGTCTTGCCCTTGGCTTCAGTGGTGTGTGAGGTCTCACCCACAGACAAGAGTCATCTTTTGGATGGGCACTTTGGCATGGCTTATCCAGCAGGCTGTGGATAGCAGGCTGGGAGTAACTCTAAGAAAAAAACAGCAGGACTTGTTGTGACATCTGCTGTAGGATGTGGTAAAAGCATCTCGGTGCTCCTGAATTGCTGATATCTCCAAACAGCTCCCAGGCTGCTCCAATCTGTGGCAGCATCAGGGTAGCCTAGATCAGATCTCAGGCACTGGGAACTGGAGCCAACTTCTCCTGTCCAACTTTTAAGATTATTATCTGGTTGATTACTAAAGTCTAAGACACAATGAATAAATATATTCATGTTTCCCAACTGGATGTTCGTGTGAAGTGCCTGGATGAAAGAAATGTTTCTCTTAGAACAGAACCAGAACAGCAGAGCTGTCGGTTTAGATATGAATCTTCAGCCAAAGTTAAGAGTCTTTTATAATAAAGCTTTATGATCTTCAATATTTTAGAGTCCCTGGACAAATGGGAGCGGCTGACAGTGGCTGATGCACTGGAACCTGTCCAGTTTGAAGATGGAGAGAAAATTGTGGTGCAGGGAGAGCCTGGTGATGATTTCTTCATTATTACAGAGGTAAGACTGACATCCTGATAAGCTCTGTCATTTCCTGGTAAAGATCAAGACTTTGCATTAAAAGACATTTGGGTTCAGTTCAATCTCTTACATCAGCGTAAATATGAACTAGCTCCACTAGGAGCTCAAACCAGGAGAATTACTGAAAATTCAAATGACTTCAGAGAGTAGTTCCATGGAAATGTCTTGTGTGGGATGATCCTTAGTTTCCAGTACACTGAAGAGGCAGAGGAATTTTGAGGTGTGTCTATTGTCTTCCCAGTTTGAAGGTTTGTTTTCTACATGAGATTTTTCTTGTTTAAATCACCAGTACTTGAACCCAACTGGCCAGCCATTGTTCCCAAAGGGGCTTAAGGGGAAAATCACAAACGAACATCTGTAAACTGAAGCAGGAGACCTGATCTGAAAATGCACCATTTGTTCTTTGTTTTGCCCTAAACTCAGTCCAAAGGCTGAGCCATTTTCTTGTTTACTCTTACACAGCCAGACAGATCTGTCAGGCAGCTGAAAATGCTGACATCTTTTGGGGAGATTATCTGACACTTCAGTTTCACCATCTCACTTCTGCAAACTGGTGCTGACAGGGTTTTTCCTCCCTCCCTGACATAAATATTTGGATCCTTGGTATCTCATACAAATACCCAGGCACTCTGATATAACAAGTTATAAGAAGGTATTACAGAGACTTAGAATAACAAGACAGCATTAGGATACGATTATATATGTATCAAATAGGAGCTTTTCAGTACCAGTTGTGAATGTTCATACACAAACGTATAGTCTGGGAATGACCAACATATGGCTGTGTGGTGACAGCTCAACTGCATATGCCAGGCCAGATGTTACATGACCAGCTATGATGCAGTGGTGGCACAGCAGCTAGGAGGTAATCTGAATCCCTCACTGGGAGAAGCTCCTCCAGATGGATATAAGGAAGCTGGTGTCATTGTGTTGTGTTGGGATCCAGATGTACGTGCACAGAATGCATCTCTGGCTCCATCAGGCTTCTGTGTTGTGATGTGATATAGGAGGAAAGAGATCCTGTTCTGCTCAGGTGATAAAGGGCTTGTACAGTGCCCATTCCAGCTGGTTTAGAAACCAACAGGTTTTTCTTTGCTCATTCCTTATCTTTGGATATTTTGACAGATGCCTCTATCCAAGGCAGCCAGAATTTTGTTCATAATCAGTATCTGACACTTAAAATTCCATCCTTCTTTCCTCTTGAGTGTTGGAAATATGTATTTGATTTATGAACATAGTTTTTCTTCTGATGCCTACAAAATTATCAGTGCAAATAACTGCACACAGTGCAGACACTTAAGGAACTTTAAATATGTGATGAGCAGTGCTCCTTCAAAACAAATGTCAAAATAAAAGAGACTAGATATTAGATTAGGGATTTTTTTTTTAATCTTAACAAGGCATTTATTATATAATAAAATATAGCAAATATAATTTCTTTTTTTTCAGATATACGGAATTTTCATTTCTACTAGTGTTACTAGTGCTATATTAGTCCTTGCAGCAGCACGAGACTGAGAAAACCTAATTTTCTTAGCCATCAAATCCCATGTGGAAAATTGGCAGCTTGCTTAAGAAGTACCAAGGGCCTTTATTTTCCCCCTCTTGATGGAACAGCTGTTAAGACTTGAGTGGGTAGAAAAGTATTAACACTGCATACTGCATAATCATAAAGTATCTGCTCACCTCACCCTTCCTACTATAAATCTAACATAGTTTCTCACTTTGGAAATAGCCAATATTTTTTTACATTAAAGAATTAACTTCCAGTATCAGCTTTCTTGTGCTGCAGTAGTATTTCTGCCTGCTCACACATAGTTTAAGCTTTGTATTTTAAACCTGACTTCACCAGGAGTGTACATCTTTGATGTTAAACTTTTCTGCAGGAGAGTTGATGTGAGCTGCCAGGAACACATTATTCTGCAAACTGGTTGAAAGTAGTTTTGGCTGGTCTGTTGTCACAATATGTTGAAAAGTCATTATCTTCTTTCATATGTTTTTTGATGTTTATGGCCATTTAATCCAAAACACTAGAAATGCAGCCAATTTGTTTGGCTGCTGTAGAAGCAGAAGGTATTTCGTATATCACCAGAATGCACAGTGTGTCCAGTAGTGCAAAGCTAAGCTTTGCCATGCAATTTTTGGGAAGGATACTAATTTATTATAAACCACAGACATCCATGGCATGCCTTACACAAATCAGTTACCAATTTACAGAGCTTTTTTGCACCAGCATCCCAGACACTGCTTCCAAGTGGGATCTTGTGTCTCCTAACATAAACACTTCTCTACAACACCATGGACACATGGATTTGAACTTGTTACCACAGTTTTTATGAACTTTTAAGTATATTGGTCCTGCAGAAGGACACAGCCTGTAAGTGAGTTGGCACCTTCAGGATTTACAGGCTGAAGTACAACCCTTTTTAAAGGGAGACTTCCAGCCTTGGTGATGATCATAACAGCAATTCCTGCTTTAAACCAGGAATATTATCCAGATTAATGTGGACAAGTATATTTAGTCTCCTCTTTCTGTTAAGCAAGCACATTCACCTTCTTTTTTTCTTAGTGTAACCTTTTTTCCCAGGGCTTTCTGTCCACCATCCAGAGTGCTCACACTCCAGAGTTGCACAGACTGTAGTAGGGTGCAGGGTGTAGGGTGTAGTAGGGTCCTTGAGGTGCAGTCTGTATGCATGAAACTGCTACAGTACCCCATGGAGAGCAAGGCTGCAGCAGGACCTCAGCCAAATTATTAGAATAACAGAAAATGTACACAGGGAAGTGTCACAGGAAACCAGGGCTTTTTAAGGTCACTGCTCACAAAGCTGTTTATGGTTCATTTTTGTTAAAAAGTCTAATGAGAAACGTATTACCCTGAGATTCCAGGTCAGCTTCAGTTTATCTGCCATCCTAAATCTTCACAGGCACCACTAAGTTGTTTACTTGCAGTAGGCTGGTGCTTTTCCATTGAAATCTCAAGCAGCCTTCAACACGATTTAGTTTTACTATTTCAAGGCTGTGATTTTTTCCAGAGATAGACTTATTTTAATGTTTATACCATATTCCTTAATTTGAAGATAGGATCAGAAGTGCATGTCTGCTTGCAAAAGCAAAGCAACCGCTTCTGTGAGATTGATTTACTGCACTTGAAACTGGTAATTAATGAAAAAAAGGAAAAGAAAAAAAGAAGCAGCCCTGCAGTTTCTGTATTTTCAGATATTTCCAGGTTTTATTTTCCCACTATAGTTTTCACACAACAAACTCAGGCTTTCCCAGACCAGACAGATGTGGAATGTATCTGCTGGATTCCAAGGTCATGGAATTATCCCATATGAGATTCCTGGCACAGAGGTGAAAAACTTTAAGCACCATGAAACAATTGTTGCCATAAAGAATTATATTTTGGCAAGCGTAAATCATAACAGATGTACAGTTTCTAACAAATAAATTTGCAGTTGCATTGTACACTGCCACACTGTGTACCCAGCAGCAGGGAGGATTTATTCATCAGCCTTCAGATAACACAAATATTTTTAGCTAGCATTTTAAAGTGGTAGCCTGCAAAGGCATGTGAGCTTTGTGGATTTAAATATCCCAGCAAATGTTCAGTCCCTTTAAATGAAATGCCCGTTGAAGGGAGGCTGATTTTATTCCTCACCCGTGCTTTGCCACTGAGTTCAGCTCAAACAGTAGTTGAAACTAGTGTAGTAGTGCTCTGAAACTGGAAAGTACTGAGGCTTTTGCTGTTGTCTAGGTTACTGAGAAAGGTAGTGACAATAGTATTAAAAATAGCGGTTATGATCATGTACCACTCTCTGAAGTTCAGCTTCCAACTTGGCTGGGTGGCACAGCACCTCCAAGTCCCTCATGCAGCTGCCAAAAATGCAGGAACCTGCAGCTACGAAGTGCCCTGCTGGGTTTTCCAGCTCCCACCCCTCCTCATGTCAGATCATTCAGATCTACTTGTCATGACCAAGCACTGTGTAGGGCACATGGATGTTGTCACGGGACTCCCATCAACTGTGTTCAGGAAGCCTTTTATTCTCAGCTGCACACTGAGAGCTTGCTGAACTGCTGCCATATGGCTCTAATACTCCATAAAGTTTGACATGGCTGAAGAAGAATGTGTGCACAGACACAAACGTCCTCAGGTGTAGGAGGAGAGGACAGCAAAAGGTTTATAATAGTGCTACACTGAGCCCGAAGAGCACAGCTTGTAAATGTCCCTTAAACATGCCTTCTATAGCCTGTCATCTTGGAAGACAGTTTGATTTAAGTGGTGCAGAAAGCAAAGCAAGAAAACTGCATGAGAATCAAAACATTTCCAATTAATGGTTGGTCAAGTTGCCCAGCAATAGCATGCAGCAGCCTAAAAATAAAAGATCTAAAAATAGAAGATAATTCACAGAAGAAAATTCAAGGAGAAATGGACCCCACGTATCAAGTGGTTTCACATTAGGTTTTTGCTTTTCACTTTAAAAACTTGTATATTTAATTGCAGATAAGTGCTAAGTTACAGGGAGTAGTTGCATGCTCCTCTACAACTCCTTTGTGAAGAACAATTGAAAACAGCAGAGGATTTTTCTGCTTTGCTGTTATCCTGCTGGATAGAGAGGAGGCAGACTAAGGGAATCTGATTTTCAGTGTCACCTGTATGATCAGTCCAGTCTGTGGGCAGAATGTTACCTTCCCTGTTTCCCTATCTGTGCAATAATCCTAGTGACACTCCATAAAGGTGAGCAAAAGCTGATTGGGAAAAGGCACAAAGTATCTGTCAGTAGAGAAACCAGGCAAGGGGAATAGCAAAATTGGCAAGTAAGGGAAACATTTTCATTGATAGTGGGAAATCCTTTGAGTATTAATGCACAGAGCTGCCCGATGGATAAAAAATAAATGAAATTAGTTGGTAATGGTTATTAGTTTGGCTGATTACATTGAAAACAGCCCTGTAATCCTCAGAGGCTGCTGGCTTTCATGCT